CCAGGCCACTCCTCAGCAGGTTGGAGGCGCTGGTGCATGGCTCCGAGCAAGCGAGGGGCATATGAAACAAATTAGGTCTCCATTACAGCCACCCAGAGGCGGGCGGTGGATGGGGCCTGCGTTCACGGCAAAGCTAATTGGCAAGAGAGACATCCAAGAAAGTACATTATTTTGCCAGACTTTGGAGTCATCAGGCTTTTTTTTTTACTGTAGAACGTTATACAGCCAGAGATAAAAAGCACGGTGAAAGTTTTAAATCTAATAAAAGCATTTGACTGCAGAGTAAAAATAACATACACAGAGGAGTTTGATTTGGATTCGGGTTTTATTAATGTTCTTTCACTGCAAAATGTTTCCGATTAAAAAACAATTTGGAGAGTGCCACATTAATAAATGGCTTGTCTTTCCACTGGGCCAGAGATTTTGAAATGCTATGGTGAATATTCTCTCTCTCTCTCTCTCTCTCTCTCTCTCTTTGGTGAGCACACATGCGCATATGCCCTACCACCAGGAGGTCCTTACAACAATATCTAAAATATTCCAAACTTTAAATTTTAGATACTATCGTATGGCTCAGAGCTGGATAGAGGAGGACAACTTCATGGCTAAGTTTGGAGAAAAAGCACCTGCAGTTTATTCAGTGTTACTTCAGACAAGGACACCACACAATACATAGCCTAGCTTAGATGTCACCAGCAGGGATCAGCAGAGGCCAGAATATGCCTCTGTTTCCCCAGTTGTAATATAAGGCTATTGGCTTCACTGGTCTTGGAGGATTTCAGAATTTCTCCAGGAAATCAATAAAGACATTTATTGATTTTCCTAAAATGTTTTTAAGCCTTTGTTTTAGGAAATACTAACTAAATCTGAAATGAATGAGCAGAGGAAAGAGACGAAGCCATAGTAAGTCCAGGAGCTGGCAGTTTGACGTAGTAGGTTTTAAAACATAACTAGTAGTATGACTAGCTCCAACTGAGGTTTGTGAAATAACCAGCCAATATCATAATATGGGGGCCAGGCACTATGAAATTATTTTTAACCAGTCTTTGCCAAGTAACTGGTAAATTAATCAGTTCCTCAAATAATTCCCAGCAAGTTATTTTTAGAACAATTGGTAATTTCCAATTCAAGTACTTGCTTAAGTATGTCCAACTGTTTTGTTTTCTGCCCCCTCACAACAGGAGTTTTAGCTCCAGGGAGGAAACACAAGTCTAACTGGTTGCTTTTTTTAGGTGGCTCAAGCTGTTCGGCCTGTGGATCAGTTTGGGGGTTGCACCCCTCCTTGGGAGACCTTGCACACACTCAGTCACTGGATGACCCAGGAATGCTGGTCATAAACCTGGGGATAAGCACCTGCTTCCCCAAAGACCAGAGCAAGATTTTGTTCCTGCAGGGCGGGTGTCAGAGTGGGTTGGGTGTGGGTTTGTACTTTTTGCACATCTGGAAGTTGAATGCACCCTGTTTTCCCACCCCACCCACCACAGCTGGATAGCCCATCCAGCCTCCTGGCCTGGCCTGGTCTCCAGTGCCCGAGAGAAGGGCAAAGACAGCTTCTGAGGCAGTAGTCAACAGAGATACACACGTAGCTGGGTTTACAAGCTCTAGCTCCCGGGGGGGCCTGACAGAGGTTGCTTAGTACCAGCTCAAGAGCCTGCTGTTGGGTCAGCTCTGCAGACAGAAGAAAGAAAAGGATCAAACTCAGTCTATCTTGGTAGTAACCGCTAATCTTATGCCCACTTGCCCCTCTCACACCTGCAGAAAGGGTGCTATTGCCGGTACTGGGTCTAGGATTGATTTCAGAGGAGAGCAGAATCTGCACAATTGCATGACCCCATAACCCATCTCCTCACTCTGTCTCCACCTCACACATCCAGCGCCTTGGCTGACTTGGCCTGGCAGTGACCATGGCCCACAGCTCTCTCCTGTCTACCTTCCCAGGGCCTGGATGGCCTCTGAGTAAACAGATAGCCTAGCGAGGTATGTGATCAATTAGCTTTGCTGAAAATACAATCATTTTGTTATTCCAAGCTGATGAGAAGCCCTCTTCGGCCTGCTCTCCCAGCCTCCACATGCCAATCAGCCCGTGTCACCGATATAATTTTCCACATAAACACAACCTTTGTGCAACATCTACTCTTGTAAATAGATGTAATTCCCAAACCAAATAACGCACTTGGAGGGGAAATGGATATTATGCATGCAAAAAGAAAAGCTGGTGATTTTTACACTTTCCAGGCAACAAAAGATTACCCCTAATTGCAAATGGGGAGGGGGCTGTGGCGGGGCGGGTGGGGGCGGCAGTGGCTGCTGGGAGACAGGGAGGCCAGCTTCCAGGAGGGTTTTCTTCATGTGCACATGTGTGAGTACAGACCACCAGGAACCACTAACGGGGGATTTGTCCTGTTTAAGCAATGGGGAGAACACGGCTGTTGTTGATATCTTAAAGGAAACGGAGAGTTACTTAATTATAAGGTTTGGTCTCTCTTGCCAGGACAGACCCCCTCTGAACCCTAAACTATACACAGCCTGTTACAGAATTTCCCCGTGCCTTCCTGTCTGGGAACGGCCTCGGTGGGCTGTGAGCTCCTCCGAAATGCATTGGTCTTTTCCAATGTTCTGCTCATTTACGTGGATGCCTAAATTAGACCTTGAAAGCAGCGGAAGTTACCGAGTAGCCAGGGAGTGAGATCGCTGCAGAACCCACTGTGTAATCCCACCAGGCCCAGAGTCTTTGCCTTCCCTGAGTCTTTGCCTTCCTGTTCCCCCTGTGCAGGACGGAGAAAACCTTTTGGGGTCAACCTGCCTGGAGTCCCAGGCCGACCATAGCGGCAGAAGGAAGGCTCCGAAAGGAGTGAGCAGTCAGCAGGAGGAAGCTACAGGGGTGGCTGAGTGACTACACACCATGCCTGGGGCCCTGGGTGTCGGTGATTCTGGAACCCCACAGCCAACCCTATGCCAGGCCAGGCAGCCGGGCTCTGGGCTTTCCTCTTATGCTTCTGGAAGATGATAGGTTCACAGAAGATGAACAAAGATTATTTTTATCTTTTGCAAAGATGCTTCTATGAGGAGGTGAGTAACAGCATCATGGCTTTAAGATAGCCTCGATACTTTCATAGAGTACTTCGGGATCTTTATTTTGCCTGAGTTTTAAACAGCAACCAGGAGGAAGAGAAAGGAAAAGCAAGCAAACACGGGGCACAGACAAAGAGCAAGCAGAGTGACCATGGGGCTCCTGGCTCCTTTCCTGGTTTCAGCCCCAGCCTGGAGGAAGGGGTGGGAGGCCCTGTAACATGTTAGCTAAAAAGATTCCTCTTTTGAATCCCTTCCTCCCCCATCAAAACTGGGCCAAAGAACCCTCTTCCGAGCATCCCTTGGTCCCTGGCTCATGAAGCCCATCTGAAACTCATTAGCTGCTTAAAATGATTGTCATGGGAGTGCTTGGTTGAGAATAAAAAAGAGAGAGGGATACTTTTAAAGGACAATAATCGGGACCGAAATGCTGGCAGATGTTTGGAGAGCTGGCAGTTGAGGACCCCGCGCTGTGGGGAAGTGGGGACTGACTCCTTCCCTGACCCTGGGCTCAGGCCTGCGTCCTCATGTCTTTGTCTCTCCCGAGGTTCCTGGAGTCCAGGGTGGATACACCGGCCCTCTTCAGGTAGCTGCTGAAAGATCCCAGCTCAGGGACACCCAAAACCTGACCCTGGGGACAGCTGTGGTAGTCCCTGGATCCTTCCTCACTTGTAACTTAATTCCTACGCTTTACAGATAAACTAATTTTGTATTTGTAATAACAAAAGCATAATATATGAGAAATGTTGGAATTATGATGACATACTACATTAAAACCACAGAACAAAGAATCTTAGAATTATAGAATCTTCAAAATACAGAACATGGAATTAAAATTTTTTTTTGCATTGTAGAGTCTGAGAAAACCAGAACCTTGGGATCAAACTGTTAGAATTCTTGCAAAATTAATTTATCACATAAGTGATGTAAATCTTAGTAGCCTAAAACATCATAGAGTTAGGAAATTTTAGAATTACAGTATAAACACTCTAGAATATTAAAAATTTTAGAATTTTAAAATTATACTATGAGAATTTTAGAATACTAGAAATGTAGAACATTAGAAATGCAGAAGGATAAATTTATAAAAATACGGAATTGTGGTCTCGTTATAGTCACAGAACTTGAGAATGGTGGATGTTAGCCTATTAAATTAAGAAAACATTGAACAATAAAATCTTAAGAGTCACAGAATATTAGCATCATGGCCTGGCAGAATTAGAGAACCATACAATTTAGAACTAGAGTTTATAATAATGGACTCCTTGGGTTATAAACTCTTAGAACCACCGAATATTAGAATCAGAGCGTCTGTTCTTGTTAGAGAAGTACAAGACGAATGTATCACAGAATTTTGGAGTACAGGATTTTAAGTGCATTTTAAAGAGTTTCAGAGGCAAAAAGGGCTTTGGAGGTGATTCAGCTCTGCTCCAGGCTGGTCCTATGTGCGCCCGAGTGTGTACACACAGGCAAGCGTGCCCTCGGCCGCCCTGTGCTTCTGTCTAGACTGCACAGTCTAATTCTACCGTTCCTCGTCCCCTGGAGCTGCCGACCTCCTTCTCTGCCTCCCCTCCCTACCCTGCCGCTCATCACTACAAATGCCTTCCAGTCCCCTGTTTTTCAAGGGACGACTTATATTTTGCAGCTCCTCCAGCCTCTTAATTCGCCATGCCTGTGCCTTGCAGGTCAGGACTATTTCAATGATTAACATATTAGTGAAATGAAGCTTTGGCTTCTTTGGGCTGTGGGAGGGGTAACAGGAGGGATGGTGCCTGCCTCAGTATGTGTGTGGCCTGTGTCCCAGAAACGGCAGCAAAGGGATCCCCATAGGAAGCCACACGACCCGTTCCTTCTTGGGAGGAGGCGGGAGTCGCCGCAGTGGCTGAGATGAGGAGCTGATCTGTCTAGGTGAGAGGAGACTTGAAACTATAAACCATTTCATGCTTATTTATTTTATGATCCTCGTGGGCTGGGGTTTACACAAATTGGACAACATGTGGATTAGATAATTTGCTGGGAATTAACAACCTCTGATGGTTATCAGTCTTGGGAGTGATTAAAGCCGGTTGATGAGAATGGTTCAGCAATGAGTTGATGATGTTATCCACGTCCTCATCGTGTTCGGAGAGATATGGTGGTTCATCACCCAGCCATAAATTCCCAGGGGGACAGCACAGTGGAAGAGGGTGGTCAGACATCAGCAGGAGAGTGACGCTCAGGATTCTGTTACACTGAGGACTAAACCAAAAGCAAAACAAAGCCAGCTTCAGAGGCACCCCAGTACTTCATAAAACATTGACTTCCTGGGGAATTAATCCCAAAATTCTGTAAAAGAAATAGCTTCAGATAAACAGTTTAAATCTGGAACCTCCTGCTTTTTAATTCAGGCATCAGAAAGACAGGGTCTGCGCAGTGGCTGCGCAGATAGGTTTGCCCTCCTCCTAAGATATTTTCTCCAGCTCAGTTTATCCAGAGAATCACCTTGCCTTAAGCTCACCTAAAGCACTTCGGGGAAGGAGCAGCTTGGGTTGGAAATGTGGAGCCATCGGGGCAAATTTCCCACAGATAACACACTGAAAGCAATGCCTTTTGCCAATTTCAAATATTTTTCTTTAAAAAGCCATCAGATTTAGAAACTGCAAATCCCCATAGCAAACTGCAGCGCTTCTAAGAATATCATTTCGATGGAGCCGGGATCGTTCCCAAACTGAAGTGTCCGCCTGATGACAGGAGTTTAGGGGGCTCCGGTCCACAGCACAGCTTGCCTGCGCGCTGTGCTTATTCCAGCCAGTCAGAACTCCTCTCTGGTCCCCAGTAGGCCCACCCACAAATAGGAAGTTGGATTAAATAATCTAAATGTGGGAACAAAAAATATTAGAAACAGGAAGAGAACAGTTTGGCTTTGTTTCCTTTTTGTGAATTGAATTTCAAATTAGTCAGGCCAGTGTTTCTATTTATTTTAGAGCCAGTTCAACCCTGAACTGCAGTTTGTATGGCTCTAGCTTTTGATTTCTGATGCTAAACGACAACACCATGACTTTGGACTTCCTGGACTATAGCTGCACCTATTGTTCACATTTTTCAGTGGTGCAGTGGATTGCGTTAACACAAATGACAAATGCCGTTGTCTCTTCAATTCTGAAAGAAATAAGGAAAGGGAAAGAGAGTGGAAATGAGCTAACAGCATGGCAAACTGGGTGTCAAGAGGCTGGACCGTGTCATGGTCAATTTCCCCATCTGTAAAATGGGGAGGGGACAAAGGAAGGAAAAATCTCCACATCGTCTTCCAGCTCCAAAACAGGGTTCCAGCCCTGCTGCTGAACCAGGATGCTGGCTACATTGTGCTCCTTTGCATCTACATATACTAGAGACGGCAGGAGTCGGGTCCAAGGAAACCGAGCCTCTACAAAGACATAATGGCAAACCCCCCATTTGTGGATGAGTCCCTTTCACTGTGATCCTGAAAGGCCAAGGAGGGGTGAACAGGGTGACTGAGGGGGCGTGGGTGAGGACTCTTAGCACACTGAAAGCGGGTAGATTTGTCAGCAATGAGAGAAGTGAGTTGGAGAAACAAAAGAGGGGCTGTGCTGGTGGCTCAGTAGTCGGCTTTCACAAATGAGGGGCAGGACTGGAGGCTCAGCCAGGCCCACATGGGCATCCAGGCAGGCAAGGCTACCTGGCAAGGGTGGGGGATGACAGGTGCTGGGCCAGGCCCTTGGTCTGAAGCCCAGTTTTAAACTGGTGAGAGTACTGTATGTCCTTTCATGATGATCAAGATAGGGTTATGCCTGAAACATTCAGGACTGGATCTTTCTGGACTCACCAGGTTGGCGGTGAGGCTGGAACGTGGGGCTGGCATGACCCCAGGCCTCAGGCTAGTCTTCTCGGCCAGAATATCCAGTCAGGACAGCTCCAACCCAGCCACAGCTGGTCAGTGTAGACAAACGGCCCGTCAGTTCAGCCCAACAAGGGGGCAGCTTAGATAACAGCACGTCAGTCCAACAAAAACAGTCCGCCCAGTTATAGAAATGGCAAGGGGAGGAGTGAGACAGAAAACCGATGACAGTATCAGTTCAGTTTTAAAAAATAACCACGCAACTTCCTCAGATATGATCTAAGGAAACAACCAGTCAGTGCACAGCCACAGTCACCCCGTCTCATCCAAGCAGGCAACCACATGACACGGCTGGAGGTGGGAACATTCGGAAATGGCCCTTGGTCCCCCAACAGCCTGTCTTCTGTGGAATCTCAGAATTGCAACACTGTTAGAACTGGTAGGGGCTGGGGTTTGGGAATCACATGATCGCATCCTTCCCTTGTCATGGGCGTGAGGAAGGACACTGGGAATGAGGAGCCCAATGTTCTTACCCAGTTGCCACAAGATATCCGGTCCCCTCTCTGAGCTGACTGTCCCTCTGGGGCAGAGGGTTCTTCCTTGTGTCTCACCAGACTCTCTCTTGCTGCAGGACCAGGCTGGGTGCTCCTCCTTATGGCCGGTGTCCTGGAAGTGCGCCAGGCATCCAGAGCCGGGAGTGGGCCAGGGACCCACTTTCCCTGGGGAAGCAGAGGGTCTAGACGGCAGAGGACAGCCTGGAGGGCCTCTCAGTGTTTGATGAATAAACATCAGAGTCGAGTTTCAGAGCTGTCACTCTGCAGCCTTCGGAGCAGGAGAGGCCAGGTGGGCTGAGGGAGTTCCTGTGGGTGGGCGGCACACAAAGAGGTGGGGTAGGGCGAGGGGCAGGGCCTGCTCCAGTTTGGCCAGTTGAGTCAGCGTTTACAGGCCATGGAACTTCACACCTTTGAAAGGCTCCAGAGTGAGCCACAGGAAAAATAAACCATTCCTCCCATCCGTGGCGGATCGACCATCCTCAGGGGCTGCTCGTCATGCGCAAAGAAAGCCTGTAAAAGGGCTCAGTGTTTCCTTTTCCACTCCCTGAAAGGATGTGTGCCGAGCCTCGCAGGACTTCTCGGGTGGGTGAGAGGGCTTTAGCCATGGTCAGTGAGGATGGGGGGCCAGGCTGGACCCTGGGACATCTACCCGGTCTCTGAGCCGTGCTTTCTACATCTGGCGACCAGGAATAAAAATACTTGCCTCAGGGTTTGACTGGGTATGTGTTTGGTGGTGGAGCAAGGCATATGTGTATACGAGTGTGCTTAGCATGTGGACGGTGCTTTATCAGTGTCTTCCTCCTTTATAGATCTGTGTCACCTGGGAAAGTCAGAGGGCCTCAGGAGCCATGTTCCCTGCTCTGTAAAGTGGGTAAGAACCTGCATATGTTGAGGGGGGATGAGACAAAGGCCCAGGGAAACACACAGAAGCCTTCCCCATCCTGATCACCACCTTACAAATGGGGCTGATAACTCGTTCTTGACCTACTGTGTCAGGGAAGCCCTGAGGACGAGTGCAACGCAGGCCATTGATGAGCCTCACTAAGCCATAGAAGCATCAGAGAGACTAGGCATCAAGACACCGTGGAAGCAAGCAGAAAAGATACAAGGGTTAGAGAGTCCTGGAGTTATTCTTACAAGTCTTATCCGCCTTGGGAGCCTTCAGGAGATGGCGTTCCTGCTGCCTGTAAGCATCAAGGAGGATCTGTCTGTCCAAAGCTGGGAGCTCGATTTTCACCCAGGGCTATTTGGCTGTAAAATGCTTTGAGGCTTAGACTGCTGCTGGAGCCCACATAGCAAGTCAGGAGACAGCCCCAGGATGTTCACGTTCTCCTGCCAGGCTTTTTGGAGCTGGGAAGAGACGATGAAGACAAGGACCCAGAGGGTGAGGAATGTAAGGGCAGATCCCTATCTGAGCACTTAGGAGCCAAGCCAGCTGTCTCCAGAGGTTAGTAAGCGCCTTACTCCAGCAGCTGTCCTGCAGAGGCTGAGGACCTGTGACAATTACAGAAGGGAGAGTGCGTGTGAATATCTGAGAGGCAGACTTTGGAGTCAGGCACCCTGGCCTCCTGTTCTAAATTCCCAATCCACCCCTGAGTGACCTTGGATTAGTCTCCTAGCCTTGGTAAAGCCCCACTTTCCTCGTGTGTGTATTGCCAGTAATCCCCACTTCAAAGACTTGCTTTAGGGATTAAGTGAGATCATACACATAAAGCATTTAGCCCAGCTCCAGAAACTTGGGGAAGGAGAGTCGTCACAGTTGAGACTGTAAGATTGGACAGGCTGAAATCTGTAGGAGGTTAAGATCCTATGCTTTACGGATTCTGAAATTACAGAAGATTGAATCCATTTATTTAACAAACACTTGCTTCATGCTTATGCTGTGCCAGATACTTCCTAGGGACTTGAGAAAAATGCACCCACTTAATCTTCATGACAGTCCCATGAGATAGGTGCTAGTATTACCTCCAATTTATAGTTGAAGGAACTGAGGCAGAAAGAAAGTTCCTTCCCACCCACACCTTTAAGGAGGTGGTAGAGCTGAGGCTGGACTCTCCTTCTGGATCTGTGCAAGTGAGAGTCTAAGACTGTGAGATTTAAAGACTACTCTATATTTCTAACATTCCAGAGAGTTTGATGTTATGGGACTTTTATTAATAATAATAAACATCTAGGATGAGACAATTCTAGAACAGAAGTCAGCAAGCTTTTTTTTTTTTTTTGTAAAAGGCCAGGAGGTAAATATTTCAGGCATGACAGGCCAGAAGTTTCCTCCTCACAACTGTTCAACACTGCTACTGTAGTCAATAACTGAACAAATAACAGTGGCTGGGTTCCAATAAAACTTTATTTACAAAAGCAGGTGGCAGGTGGATTTGGCTCTTGAGCTACAGTTTGCTGAGCCCTGTTTTTAAGACAGCTCAGGTATCTCCCGTCAAGGAGAGTGCCTGGGTACGGGCTCCTTTTGAGATTGATAGGATTGAGTCTCCTCATTTGGAGATGCAGAGCGTGGTGCAGCCAAGTGTGGCTGTCCCTTTCCGTCCTAGAGAGGCTATTGAAAAGGCTCCTCTCTCCAACTGCCCAGCCTCCATTACTCTTTGCTGGAAAACAATGTTAATTTCCCCTAAGCGGGAAGCAGCTGCACTTGTGAGCCAGAGCTCATTTTGTGGCATGAATATTTATGGCATGTCCCCTAATTAAGTCCAGAAATAAAAATCTATCCTGCTAACAGGGGCCATCGAAGATTGGAAGGCCGTGTCAGGAACCAGCCTCTTGTGCCTGTGAAGTAGGGTTGTCGATGAAACATTTGTTTCCAGAGCCACTTGGTCAGGGCCAGTGTCCACAAGAGTGGTAAGGTGGGTATTTCCATGGAGGTCAAGCACCCTTGGTGGGGTCATGTGCTGGGGGAAGGGCTGTCTGGGCCACTTCATTGAGTAGTGGTGACTGGCTGTTCTTCCATGTCAGCCTGGGACGGAATAGAGGTGAGTATAGGACACAGCCCTAGCTGTTTGTTTGTAGTCAGGGGGACTCAAGTATTTACTCACTGGGCATCAGTGGCCACTCTAGCGAGAACTGCCTGGAGAGAAAGGGCGGTAGCAGGGAATTCTGTACGGCCCAGGGCTCTCCCAGCCTCAGTTCTCCTATTGTTAAAATGGGGGCGGGTGCTTAGGACCCTCAACATCATGGAGTTGCTACTAAGAGTTCTAGAAGGTGATGGAAATAGGGGATGTGGGGAACGGATTCTGGGATTTCCTTACTTCCAGACCCTCACACTCGTTAGTCCCCACAGCCAAGGAAAACTGACTCTGCCCAGTGCAGTAACCTTGAGCGTTTCCGGAAACCATAAATCTTGACTTTTCCATGAGGGGTCCTATCTCCAGAGAACTGCTCGGGCCCTCATATCCTCTTCCCCAGAGCCAATAAACCAAGCAAACACCATAAAGCTCCTCACCCCACTTGAGCTTTTCCGGCTGTCAGAGTCAGACCTGGTCAAGAATCAAGGGTTTCATAATATAAGCAAAAAGTTTGTATAGCTCCTCTCCTTTTCCTTTCCAGGAAAGGGAGATTCTCCGTCTGTCTTCTTTTTGATGATCCTCTTCTTTCATTTCTTCCCATCATGAGGGAGACCCTAGCTTACATTCCCACCCTCCTCCCAGCTGAGGTAGAGGCTGGCTGAGGAAGCTGCTTTCTCAAGGCGGGTCCAGGTGCAATCACCCTGGGGCCTTGGCAACCTGCACACCTTATAAATTCAAAAGTCAACAAGATGTGGAAGCAGAGGAGACCCTCAGGCTAGAGAGGAGGAAGAGGGTTGGTGAGGGTGGACCTTGCCTGGGAGGTCAATCAACGGCAGTTTCTGCACCTTCTGCCTCCCACCCCTCCCTCTGCAGGGCCTGGCCCAGGCCCTCGAGCCCCAGGACTTCCTGCTCTCTTCTTCTTCTTCACATTCTGAGCTCAGATCTGATCCCAGCAACAGCCTGGACCCTGGGAGGGGGCCTTCGAAACCTTTTCTTTTGCATCCTCTCACTACAGATGGGGAAGGCCTCTCCCAAGGTCAGTGTCAAGGCAGGTAGTGGAGAAATAGCACTGGGCTGCAGCCAGAAGGCCCAGTCACACATGGAGCCCTGACTCCAGAGTTAGACTGGAGCCTCACCTGCTAGCCACAGATCACACGCAGATGGGCCCAATCATGACTTCTTGTGGCCCATCTCAGCTGTTTGTATGCAGGACACCATCTTCACTGAGAAAGGGCACTGTGTGCTTATAAGTCTGGAGGTTTGATGCAACGGGCCCATCAGAACACTTTAGCAGAGGTACACCTTTCAGAAGAGTCACTGTCTCTCTCTGGGATTGAGTTTTCTCATCTGTAAGTGGACAATTAAATCCACTCCCACCTTTGCCCCAGCTGATCTCCTCAGCTTCTTGGGTCAAATGAGATTCTACAGAGCCTCTTTGTTAGTTGGACATGTCTAAATGTGAACAAAGAAGTGTTCAAGTTGTACCTATCGCTTTTGTTATTAGTTGACGTTTGTGCTCCTTTCTGATGGCCTGAAGGATCTGCTGTCCTCTGGAGACCTAGGATTTAGAAGCAAATTCTTCTAGACCAAAGGGGCCAAGAGAAGGCCCAAGAACTCGGTCAGGACCCCCAGGTCCTAGAAGACTTGAGGAGCTGCTGTGTTAGAGGGCAGGACTCCTTTGTCCTTGTTGAAGGCTGAAGCTGCTGGCTGGAACTGGGATCCTGCCATTAACCAGCCCCACAGTATGTCCAGGTGAGCCTGTGATCCAGGCCCTTGGAACTTCCCTCTGCTCCAGCTACCATCCCAGGCTCAGCATCTTTGAGCCTCAAATTCAGTCTCAGAAGTGTGGGCATTTGTGCTGACACAGTGTGCCAACTCTTGGGGGCCTGGGTTTTGCTTTGTGCATGAGACAGCCTTAAAACTTTCATAACCCTATCCAGTACCACACATACCCTCCGCACCAAGCCATCTGGTCTGGGAAGGGCAAGGGGCCTAAGAGACTCAGGATGGGACATCAAGGCCATATATGATCCAGTCCTCTGTATCTGAGTTCCTCTCCAGATTATCTCCCCTTGCACAGGGCCACTCCTACAGCTTCCTCCTCCTGTGGCTCTCACCGGCCTAGGGCGCCCCTGCCTGGAGCTCTATGCTCCTAGTCTTCTGTCTAGGAACCCCTCCGCCTCTCCCATGGGAAGGCTCATATTCTCACTCCCCTTCGGTCTTTTCCTGAA